CCTGAAACTAGACAATACTTACTGATTCAAATTATAGTTCTACCCCCTGCTCATTATCATTTAGGAAGAACAAGGGGATATGAGCAATAACCAAAATTTATTTACAATCAGAGTTATCTCATACACCACAATTCACAATATATATATCTAACCACAAGTGAAATGAAATTAGCTAAAACTATGAATTATTCGGTGCCAGCTGGTAAAAAAAATTGTTTTATCAATTTATCAAGCCTTGAGTAAACAAAAGCAGTAGTGAAGGATGTCAAAATACTATTATGAAAATGAAGCCTAGTATGCTTGCATGCAGCACCTCATACACATAAAGAATCCAAATTAATACCACTTACCTCATTTTACATTCTGTTAAAAAATACCTGATGTCCTTCTGTTAGGCTGCTCTCTAAGAAAAACCTCTTTTAGCATTTGAATTGACTGATTATCATAAAAGATGACCCTTGAAGCTTGTGATGTACTAAACACCGAGATCCAGGATATATCTTAGTTCATCTTCATATTCTACACCATGAAATTACCTACAAAGTTGTAACAACAATGTTTATTATATACTATCTTATATATCTTTGTTTCTATACTGAATATCTATAAAAGTGAAAATTGACCAGACATCAAGCTACTTACACAGTCCTTGTATATGAAATGTTATGATTATCTTTTCAGTTCAGTCATATTAAAATTCAGTTATAAAATGACATTAACAGATGCACCTGACCCTTGATTTTGATTTAAATAACTTATCTCCATTTTATCTAAATGAAGAGATAACTTATTGTCAGTTAATCCTAGAATGACCGATTGAAGTTCATCTATCATTTCTTTTTCAATAAAACACCTATTCTTCCCTGCAATAAGAATGGCAAATTATCTGTTTATAGCAGGAGCTTATATTTAACAACAGCCTAAATACAACACACATATATCAAAAATAATAACTCCAAGATAGATCCTTGGGGAACACTATAAGTAACTCTTCCATGCAAGGAAAAAGTTACAGATATGTCCAAAAAATTGTTGCATTTCATAAAGAAATATCCTGAACCATTGTGAAATAACAGCTTAAACCAGTAGCTTCAAATTTCATTACAAGGGTTGAATAGCCCTCTGTATCCATTAAAATTACATTACATGTAAAATTTTAGCAATACTAGTATAACATGAACAGACATGTTACATTTGGCATAATGTATATACTATTTGAAGCAAAATCTATCACATGGAATAGTTTTATATAAAGATATCCTGGTGTATATATGGTACTTACATCATCATCATCGTGAAATGAGACCTCATTATCAGACTGTCTTCTTTTTACTCTCCTTCCTGATGATGTCATATATACTCTAACCTAAAAAATATATGTCATATATACTCAACCTAAAAAATATATGTCATATATACTCTTACCTTCAAATATAAATATTCTATATAATCCTTTCATACTTAAGTTTTTGAGAGGACACGACCACCACCATCTATATTTACATAACATAAAAAATGACAAAGTTTGAACGCCCAAACTAATATTGACCTTAGTCGTAGAAACCAGAGTCTAGTTCGCCACACACCATACATCTATGGTTATTTCATATATGAAAAAAAATTAAAATACTTTCATGCATGTTGAAGTTTCAGAGCGGACATTACCACCACCTTCTATAATTATATAACAAAAAAATGACAAAAGTTGAACCCCCCCCCCAGTGACCTTGACCTTAGTCGTAGAAAACCCAGTCTTGTTCGCGACACACCGCACATCTATGGTAAATTCATATGTAAAAGAAAATTAAAATCCTTTCATGCATACTGAAGTTTCAGAGCGGTGACGACCACCACCATTTATATTTATAAAATACAAAAAATGACAAAGTTTGAACCTCAACAGTGACCTTGACCTTAGTGGTAGAAACCCCGAGTCTTGTTCACGACACACTATACAATTATGGTTATTTCATATGTGAAAGAAAAATTACAATCCTTCCATGCATACTGAAGTTTCAGAGCAGACACGACCACCACCTTCTATATTTATACAATATAGAAAATGACAAAGTTTGAACCCCCACAGTGACCTTGACCTTAGTGGTAGAAACCCGAGTCTTGTTGGCGACACACCATACATCTATGGTTATTTCATATGTGAAAGAAAAATTACAATCCTTCCATGCATACTAAAGTTTCAGAGCGAACACTACCACCACCTTCTATATTTATATAACATAAAAAATGACAAAGTTTGAACCCCCACAGTGACCTTGACCTTAGTGGTAGAAACCCGAGTCTTGTTGGCGACACACCATACATCTATGGTTATTTCATATATGAATGAAAACTTAAAATCCTTTCATGCATACTAAAGTTTCAGAGTGTACACAACCATCACTGTCTGTATGTATAAAGCTGGACGGAGTGACGGACTGACAGACAGACAGACAGACAGACAATTTGATTTTAATATGCCACCCTTTGGGGGCATAAAAAGTTAAGTTCTTAGTGAACAAAATAATTATTGACAATTTTATTAATTAACTACACATAATATAAAAATGTTAATTAGTGAACAAAAAAAATAACTAATGTAAAATTCTGTTGTTGTGAGGGATTGCAAATGAGATTCTTGTTTTATAAATGTCTTGGAAACCTACCTTGCAGCAATTCAAAATGGTAATGTTACGTCAAACAGTTATTACACTAGTGTGATATTGTTTTTATTAAATGGCTTTATTACACTCCAGTGAAGCTGTTTATGTGATAATAGTAGATATAGACAATTAATTTTGTCTGTTATTTCATAGAATCTTCTTCTATATAACTTAACATAAAATAACAGATTTGCTTATCAGAATAATCACAGTATTTTGACAACAAATGATCTTATGGTATTAACAATACAGTACTGTATGTAAACATAGAATTATGTACCTTTTGTTGTGGCTTGTGGACATTTACAGTTGCCACAGTCTGTAACTCTACAGACCCACACATTTTTTCACTATGTAACTTAAACACACTGCAAGAGAAAAAAACATAAAATTTGATAATAACCCAATGAGTAATGTCATTATAACAATGAGATGGACATTTATCTCTACTTCTAATTATGTCAGGAAATCTTGTAAAAGTTATGTTATAATATAGTTTCTACCCTGACATTGTAAGAACTAAATCATCATAAATATCTAATTATAAGAAAACTAGAAATGTGTTCATAGGACATGGATGCCAGAAGGACAAAGTAAATTTTATATGACTATTCTTACCCAATAGTGGTTGGGGCATAAAAATGATATAAATTTTTCCAAAGTTGACATCTTGATTTTTTCAATATTGAAAATTTCAAATCTCAATTTTATATCATAAAATATGCTTAAAAAAACACACAACAAGAATTTGTAACAGAGTTACCAACATCCCCCGCCTTGGGGAAGTTTTATATGAAGCATAAAATTGTGCTATTTCAAAAGATTGAGGTATGGATCTCAGGACTTTCAGTCAAAAATTATGATCAATGCTAGATCTGCAAATGCAACAATAAATTTATTTAAGAAATAAAATGATACACAGAATTTAAAAATCTATAATATCAAGCTTTGACCTCTAAGTGTCTTTGACCTTGGAGGTAGGGGTGCAGGTGTTGTGCATTACATATCATCTTATTATTGTAGCTATTTGTGCCAAGTTACATTTTATTTCAAAATCCATTGAACTATGAATAAGTTCTAGATCAGACATAAAATATACCCTATAACAGACTATGTTCATTTTTGACCTCTAAGTGTGACCTTGACCTTGGAGGTAGGGATGCAGGTGTTGGGCATGACACATCCTCATTATTATAGTGACTATTTGTGCCAAGTATTTTCAAAATCCTTTGATTTATGAAAAGGTTATGGACCTAGCACATAATAAGACAATATGTCAGATTATTATAAACAATTGTGGCTTACAAAAGTACTTACAAAATCCCTTCATAGATAAGAAAGTTATAGACCGGACACGACATATACCCTCAAATAGACAATGTTGACTTTGAATGAGCAAGTGTGACTTTGAACCTGGAGGTAGGGGTCTGGTTGTTGCGCATGACACATCGTCTTATTATAACAAACATTTGTGCCAAGTTATTTCAAATTCCTTTGATAAATGACAAAGTTATGGACCGGAAACGAAAGTGAGACGGACAGAAAGACGGACGGACGGACAGAGCCTATTTCTATATCCCCTTTTTTCTTCGAAAAAGGCGGGGACAAAAAACAAGCAAAACCCATGCTGACCAACAGTCCTGTAACGTTTTATGACTCTAGGTAACTTGCAAATCTTTTACTAAGTAAAGAGCAATAACTGTACAAACACAAGTTACCCTCAGGTGCACAACTACACATGCTGACCAAAATTTCTGTAAAGTTTCATGACTCTAGGTCAAATCCTTTATGGGCTATGTGCGACATCAGTTGAAAATTGCAAATCTTTACCAAGTCAAGGGCACTCTACAAATAACTGAATAATATAACATTAAGTGTTATAATATAACAAACTCACATTATCCAAGAAAAAAAAGCATATTTAACAACAATTATAAGAGAGATATTTTTAACTGACAATATAGTTAAAGTAAAACTGTATTAAAGAATTCAAATCTTGTTGTATATAACTGTCACCTGTAATGAACACCTGTAATTAACCAAGTTGCAATAAATCTAAGAGTTTTATTCAACTTTTGTTAAAGCTTTATCTATGATACTTACTTCAGGCAGGCACCGGACACATGAATTATTCTACCAGAATCATTGTTATGATACTTACTTCAGGCAGGCAGCGGACACATGAATTATTCTACCAGAATCATCGTTATGATACTTACTTCAGGCAGGCAGCGGACACATGAATTATTCTACCAGAATCATCGTTATGATACTTACTTCAGGCAGGCAGCGGACACTTGAATTATTCTTCCAGAATCATCGTTATGATACTTACTTCAGGCAGGCACCGGACACATGAATTATTCTACCAGAATCATCGTTATGATACTTACTTCAGGCAGGCAGCAGACACATGAATTATTCTACCAGAATCATCGTTATGATACTTACTTCAGGCAGGCAGCGGACACTTGAATCATTCTACCAGAATCATCGTTATGATACTTACTTCAGGCAGGCAGCGGACACTTGAATTATTCTACCAGAATCATCGTTATGATACTTACTTCAGGCAGCCACCGGACACATGAATTATTCTACCAGAATCATCGTTATGATACTTACTTCAGGCAGGCAGCGGACACTTGAATTATTCTACCAGAATCATCGTTATGATACTTACTTCAGGCAGGCAGCGGACACTTGAATTATTCTACCAGAATCATCGTTATGATACTTACTTCAGGCAGGCAGCGGACACATGAATTATTCTACCAGAATCATCGTTATGATACTTAATTCAGGCAGGCACCGGACACATGAATTATTCTACCAGAATCATCGTTATGATACTTACTTCAGGCAGCCACCGGACACATGAATTATTCTACCAGAATCATCGTTATGATACTTACTTCAGGCAGCCACCGGACACTTGAATTATTCTACCAGAATCATCGTTATGATACTAACTTCAGGCAGGCAGCGGACACATGAATTATTCTACCAGAATCATCGTTATGATACTAACTTCAGGCAGCCACCGGACACATGAATTATTCTACCAGAATCATCGTTATGATACTTACTTCAGGCAGCCACCGGACACATGAATTATTCTACCAGAATCATCGTTATGATACTTACTTCAGGCAGCCACCGGACACATGAATTATTCTACCAGAATCATCGTTATGATACTTACTTCAGGCAGGCAGCGGACACTTGAATTATTCTACCAGAATCATCGTTATGATACTTACTTCAGGCAGCCACCGGACACATGAATTATTCTACCAGAATCATCGTTATGATACTTACTTCAGGCAGGCAGCAGACACATGAATTATTCTACCAGAATCATCGTTATGATACTTACTTCAGGCAGCCACCGGACACATGAATTATTCTACCAGAATCATCGTTATGATACTTACTTCAGGCAGGCAGCAGACACATGAATTATTCTACCAGAATCATCGTTATGATACTTACTTCAGGCAGCCACCGGACACTTGAATTATTCTACCAGAATCATCGTTATGATACTTACTTCAGGCAGCCACCGGACACATGAATTATTCTACCAGAATCATCGTTATGATACTTACTTCAGGCAGGCAGCGGACACTTGAATTATTCTACCAGAATCATCGTTATGATACTTACTTCAGGCAGGCACCGGACACATGAATTATTGTACCAGAATCATCGTTATGATACTTACTTCAGGCAGGCACCGGACACATGAATTATTGTACCAGAATCATCGTTATGATACTAACTTCAGGCAGGCAGCGGACACATGAATTATTCTACCAGAATCATCGTTATGATACTAACTTCAGGCAGGCAGCGGACACATGAATTATTCTACCACAATCATCGTTATGATACTTGATTCAGGCAGGCAGCGGACACTTGAATTATTCTACCAGAATCATCGTTATGATACTAACTTCAGGCAGGCAGCGGACACATGAATTATTCTACCAGAATCATCGTTATGATACTTACTTCAGGCAGGCAGCGGACACTTGAATTATTCTACCAGAATCATCGTTATGATACTAACTTCAGGCAGGCAGCAGACACATGAATTATTCTACCAGAATCATCGTTATGATACTTACTTCAGGCAGGCAGCAGACACATGAATTATTCTACCAGAATCATCGTTATGATACTTACTTCAGGCAGGCAGCGGACACATGAATTATTCTACCAGAATCATCGTTATGATACTTACTTCAGGCAGGCAGCAGACACATGAATTATTCTACCAGAATCATCGTTATGATACTAACTTCAGGCAGGCAGCGGACACATGAATTATTCTACCAGAATCATCGTTATGATACTAACTTCAGGCAGGCAGCGGACACATGAATTATTCTACCAGAATCATCGTTATGATACTTACTTCAGGCAGCCACCGGACACATGAATTATTCTACCAGAATCATCGTTATGATACTTACTTCAGGCAGGCACCGGACACATGAATTATTCTACCAGAATCATCGTTATGATACTTACTTCAGGCAGCCACCGGACACATGAATTATTCTACCAGAATCATCTTTATGATACTTACTTCAGGCAGGCAGCGGACACATGAATTATTCTACCAGAATCATTGTTATGATACTAACTTCAGGCAGGCAGCGGACACTTGAATTATTCTACCAGAATCATCGTTACGATACTTACTTCAGACAGGCACCGGACACATGAATTATTCTACCAGAATCATCGTTACGATACTTACTTCAGGCAGGCAGCGGACACATGAATTATTCTACCAGAATCATCGTTATGATACTTACTTCAGGCAGCCACCGGACACATGAATTATTCTACCAGAATCATCGTTATGATACTAACTTCAGGCAGGCAGCGGACACATGAATTATTCTACCAGAATCATCGTTATGATACTTACTTCAGGCAGCCACCGGACACATGAATTATTCTACCAGAATCATCGTTATGATACTTACTTCAGGCAGCCACCAGACACATGAATTATTCTACCAGAATCATCGTTATGATACTTACTTCAGGCAGCCACCGGACACATGAATTATTCTACCAGAATCATCGTTATGATACTTACTTCAGGCAGCCACCGGACACAGGAATTATTCTACCAGAATCATCGTTATGATACTTACTTCAGGCAGGCAGCGGACACATGAATTATTCTACCAGAATCATCGTTATGATACTTACTTCAGGCAGCTACCGTACACATGAATTATTCTACCAGAATCATCGTTATGATACTAACTTCAGGCAGGCACCGGACACTTGAATTATTCTACCAGAATCATCGTTATGATACTAACTTCAGGCAGGCAGCGGACACATGAATTATTCTACCAGAATCATCGTTATGATACTTACTTCAGGCAGCCACCGGACACATGAATTATTCTACCAGAATCATCGTTATGATACTTACTTCAGGCAGGCACCGGACACATGAATTATTCTACCAGAATCATCGTTATGATACTTACTTCAGGCAGCCACCGGACACATGAATTATTCTACCAGAATCATCGTTATGATACTTACTTCAGGCAGCCACCGGACACATGAATTATTCTACCAGAATCATCGTTATGATACTTACTTCAGGCAGGCAGCGGACACATGAATTATTCTACCAGAATCATCGTTATGATACTTACTTCAGGCAGCTACCGTACACATGAATTATTCTACCAGAATCATCGTTATGATACTAACTTCAGGCAGGCACCGGACACTTGAATTATTCTACCAGAATCATCGTTATGATACTTACTTCAGGCAGGCACCGGACACATGAATTATTCTACCAGAATCATCGTTATGATACTTACTTCAGGCAGCCACCGGACACATGAATTATTCTACCAGAATCATCGTTATGGAATGAGCAAGAGTCAGGTTCAGCATGTATGTCAACACATTTTAATGCTCCTCCTTCAACCTAACATCAATATAAATCATGTTTACTATACAAACAACAAACAAGTGAGTCAAAAGTAGGTCATGTATACTATACACACAATGATAGTGAGTCTAATGTAGGTCATATTTCAGGCAGAAATCATCAAGATTAAAATTCAACATAACTTTTTTTTGTGATCTACATTAAAATTTTCCTCAGATATGAAAATTTAACTGATTTACCTGAATACTATTCTTTAAAGATTTAATTTGAAATATGTTTGCCGCACGTTTTGGAGAGTAGATGTAATGCCAGGGAAAACCTCCAATCTTTACATCTTGATCACAGCAGCTCACTTCAAACAACAATGGTGGAATCTCTACAAACAGTGATAATTCATTTTTGTAACTCTAAGTAATAATAATATCTTAATTTAGAGAAGGTATTACACATTAAGAATATACAACAGCATTCATAAACATGATGTATATCTTATATATATATCGAACAAACTTTAAAAATAAAAATAATTAAAGGGCCATAACAGTGACAAAAATCATCAGACCATAAAAAGCCCATGATAGGCACAACTAAGCTTGGTATTGATCATTCCTGTAAAGTTTGGAAGAAATTATACCAGTACATTTTAAGGAGAAGTCCAGACAAGTTTTGTTATGGACGGACAGACAGACAACAGAGAAGTGATCCCTATGAGTAGTCCGGACAAGTTTTGTGCTGGACGGACAGATGGATGGATTTCCTCAAAGTTTGGTATTTAAGTGGCTACTCCTTTGTTCTCTCTTTTGTTCTTTTAGCCACGTAAGAGAAAAGGAGCCATATAAGAGCTAACTGAAAAGGAAATTATATAACCTATTGCTCCCATACCTCCTAAGTATCTATATGTTTGTACAGACAGACAGACAGACGACGAAGAAGTGATTCCTATATGTAGCCACTACACTATAGAGATGACATAAAAATGAAGTACAGTAAAAATCTGAAAACTTAAGAAAACAGTTAACAACTACAGTAAATGGTAGAACAGTGTCAACAATTCTTAAACTTGTCTTGTAGCTAAGGTAGAGAGAAGAGATATTAGAACATAAACCGCGGCGCAGGAGTGTAATAAAGCCATTTAATAAAAACCGATATTACACTAATGTAATAACACTTTGACGTGATGTCATTTGCGCTATATAGAAACATAGCGTTAAAGCGGGCTAAAGTTAGCGTTACACTATAATAGGCGCATCATTGAAAAATTACTCCTTTTAACAGTTTACTGTTCTTATTTTACACATGTGATAAAAAGAATATTATATTCGTGTAGATTCAGCCAGAGGCTCGCATAATATGATTTTATTCAACTAGTTCAATAAATTTAGTATTAAACTACACTCATTTAATATCCTCTATTTAGAACAACTGTACCTGTTATCTTTATATTAATAGGAAGATCTGCTGGTAATTCTGCCCAGTCTATGTTTCCTGTAGAAGTGAAGGCATCGAGGGAATGTTCAAAGTTCTTAAACTAAAACATTCAAAATAAGGTATGAAGTCAATCAATAAGTTTTTATAATGACTCTATAGCAAGTCTATTATTCAAGATACACTCTTGTACATCAAATGATTATTGAACACAAAACTGACAGTTTAGATCAGATGCTTTTTGTATACGATGACAGGTATTACAGACAAAATTGCAGCATTCAAATAAATTAATGATTTCCAACAAAAAAGCATAAAAAATTTACTGTTACTGACAGTTTTTACCTTAGCCGTTGTAGAATATAAATTTTGTTAAATGTGATTTCATTGGTCAATATTTTACACACCAGTTTTTGTTGCATATGGATGCAAATCAAATCATTTTACCCACAGCTTGATTACATGTTAATCAACTGTGAGTTCAGTGTCTATTCTAGGACGCGCGATTGCGCGATTCACGCTAGCATTTCACAGATAGCGCACAATTCAAAATCATGTGCGTGAAAATCGCGCATCTATAAAAAAAGTTAATAAAATCGTAAAACTTCCATCCTGCATTAAATTTGGTTGTTTTGTTTACATTTACACCGGAAACCAAAGGGAAGTAACTGTAAGCTAATTATAATAATTTAGTACCGTATGGTACTGGTTACGTGAGTTGACGGAAATTAACGGAATGTTCCGTACCAACCGGAACTAGTGTGCTAGGTCTGACAGTTGGGCGCCATTTTAGTGTAGTAAATAATCAAGAAAAATGAGGCAATTCCTAGCTTGGCTACGATCTAGACGTGAAAGATAGGTCTATTGTTTGTATTGTCAATCCCTTTATAATCAATCGCGACAGTTCTATAATGATTTGTTTTCGTTTAAAAATTAAGGGGGGGACAACTTCTGCTGCCTTAGTTTTAATTATTTCATCGGTTGAACGCCTCTGTTTAAACTTAATGCAGACGATTTAACATTGGCAGTTTATATTGGCACCCCTTGATTTTGAAAATCGCCCCCTTTTTTGAAATAGAGGGGGGAAAATCACCCCTATGTTTGAAATCCTAGAATAGACACTGGAGTTTCAGAGGATGCTCAGGTCATTGTACCTGTACCAAATTATAGTTCTAAATTATAGATCTAACAAAGTGTTCAGACATTATACATATATTATACATGTAAGAATGGCTATTCATACCTTTTCAAGAATTCTGTCAAAACTGAAGAATTTCACCAGACCATTTACATACATAATAATCAACATGCCGTGCGTGAGAATAGCATTTGTTACACCTGCTCCAAATATCTGAAATAGTCATGAAAGTATTTATTATATTGATCTAATACCATCAATACCATACTTCTAAGCTGTAATTAATGTCCTAGAAAATAAATGTCCCCACTGTGAACTCAAAGTGATATTTTATCAAGGTTCTCATTTCAACCTTGTTTTAGTAAATTTAGAATGTTTTCTTCTGATTTGACAGTGTGGCCCAGTTTTTGACAAAATATGGTCAATCATGTAAACTTAATTAATGTATCATAAATTGTGAGTTGAAACTTACTCAGTTTCATGTACCATGGATTTGAAGATGATTTAATAACATAAAAAGTAACATGTTTCCTCTACTTTTGACATACATGTCATAATTTCTAGACTCTTTTCTGGTACAATTTTCATGGGGGTCATTGAGATCAGCAAGCAAATTGTTTCAAAAGTTCACATAGTGGAATAAAACCTAGGTAACCATTATTTACAACTTGCATGATTTTATATTATGTCTACTCAAACAAGACAAAATGTCAATAATAATCAGCAGTTGTAAAGTTATTAAGGTCTATGAATTCAATAAGTCACAAAATAACATAGGGCTATGTAAAGTTTTGGCAATTTGAAATTTCTTTTGGTATAAATAGCTGAAACGTTAGCATGTTTCTGAAGACTTGGTTACCTCATATTTAGCAATAATCTTCAGTGTTCCAGCAATAAATGGAGTAAGTGAATGCCTGGAGGCAGATTTAATTTAAGCTGGCCTGTTGTTACTTTCAGTTTTTGACACCTTCCTCCACTAAACAATTGATATTTTAAATTGATATTTTCTCAATTATTGCAGATGATTGTTACTTGGAAGGAGCTGGATTATTAGTGCATGTATGCTTTCAGTAGTTTATAATCTATGTCCAAAACTTACTCTTCTATCAACTTCAAACATTCCCACAAATTTTAATGGAAATGTTGAGAAAACTGCCATCACAACTGCAACATTGCTTGATATCCTTTCCTGTAATATATCAAATTAACTTGAAACACAAGTTCAGTGTAAACATAGTCATGGTATAATGTTGACACAGTCATGGTATAATATAAACACAGTCATGGTATAATATAAACACAGTCATGGTACAATTTACAATACAGCAATAAAGTACAGAAGCCTATGAAAATGTTACATAAGTTTTCATTAAGCTTGTTTATTAACTCAGTGTGATATGTTAAAAGTTTAATCATCTTACATTTAGAGGAAACTTGTTTATACTTACAGGTAAATGCAGTCTTGTTTCTACAGTACGTATAGATTTGATATAGAACATTTTGTTCACCTCTGCCCAGTCTAAATATCTGAAAATAGAGAGCAGATAAATGTGGGTTCATCAACCTTAACACAAGCAAATTTTGGATATTGTTGGTTTTACAGTTTCTTTTTTAAACTAAAAGTATGATTTACATAATTTTTGTTGAGGCCTACCAGACAATGCTACATACCATAATTATGAGCTATTGATCGGACAGCATGCTCGACTATTCTCAGTGTGTGATAGTAAAAACAAAGCCTGCATGTTGTAGAATTTTCTAAGTTCAAAAACGGCCAGAATTCTGTCAAAATCCATGTTCATATTATGGACCTTGGGCAGTGACTTCAACTAAGTAAGTATGTGAAGTTTCAATTAATTCTCTTCTATTTTCCATATTTAGGCTCTGACCCACATTCAACATTGAGCTAGAAATCAACCTTCCTAAATTTGACCTAGGAACTATAGAAGCAACCTTTATGACAAACTTCCATTATATAATTGTCATGTAGGGAATTTAATGTTTAAATTTGATCTTAAGTCAGAATATCAACACATAAACATACATGAAATTTTCAAAAATTCGATAATTTGACATTGACAATCCATTCATTACTTACAAAGTTACTGCCATTTATAGCAAAAAACTGAAATAACAATAATTTGACCTTCACGGTTGAAGGTCATCGATGATTCAAGGTCATTTTGCGTTTGATTTTCCTAAAAATCATTGTCCTTAAAGCAAATGGTCAAGTATGAAGACAATCCATTCATAAATAACAAAGTTATAGTCAATTTAAGCAAAAATCAAGCAAAATTGAAAATTTGACCTGGCAGGTCAAGGTCATTTATGAGTCAAGATCATGCTCAGTCTGGCCTACCGGAAGGTCTTGTCCAAAGGGTTGTTGTGTTCAATTTGAAAACAATCTCTTGAAGAAATAAACAATATATGACCAATGTTAAAGTTTCTGGATGGCATTGGCAACCTGACTGTAGCAATAACTTGAATTTTTTCTTCCAAAAAGTGGAGCTTAAAATTTCTTACCTGAATTTGATGCGACATGATAGAAATATTTCTTTAATTAGCTCCCCTGTATTCAGATCATATTGCACAAGGCTCACACCTACTGGTCGTGTTTTCAATGCCATAAGACATGCTTTACCTATTGTTGGAAACTCCTCCTGTAAAATAATCAGCCAGGAATTTCTGATTTAAAATAAACTTAATGACAGAATATTTCGTTTGATTAAAGTTATTATTTAATCCTTAGAAAAGGGAAGTTTTTTTCTTAACAGTTACTTCAGAAATCCTACCATGAACTATGAAACAATTAAACTTAACAAGAAAATAATAAAGATAAACAATAAATCTTGTCTATAACTAAAATCTTACAGCATTAACATTCATTTGTTAATTGCATGAACCATTAAAGAAGGCAATGATGGATTTGTACAGTTCACACATGGTTAATATTTCTGCCAAGAAGTTTCAATATTCTTCATTCACTTCAAAGGTGGACATGAAATTGCTATAACAAGAACAGATGACAAGGTGCATAACAATATACAATTTTAGGGACTATAAAAAGAAAACAATGTTACATGGTAGAACTTGTAGATGAGAGCATCTTCCAGTTTGCTACAGTTGTTCTGATCGGATATCTTGTACATCAAACAGTTTCCACCATCTATACCATACCTTGTCAAAGTATCATTATGTTTTTACTGAGGGAAAAACTTTTACATAAAATATTCTGAACAAGATTTTCAACTTTCATTAAATAAGCATGCAGGGTATAATATAATACCCTATGAAAGTACAGTGTGATACAATTAAAGTGAGAACAAATAAACTATCGTGGCATAATCTGTCTAAACCAATTGTTACAGTTAACAAGTTTATTGTTTACAAGTTACATAACGTAACTCTAGGCCATCTGCCCAAATACACAATACTATATAAAAAAAAGTACATTTGGTTGTGTTACAAATAATAACAAGAGGTCAATGATGACCCTAATATCAATGGTTGCTATACAAAATAAATGGTTTCCTTAGAAGTCAGTGCCTGAGACTAACAACTGAGAAAAATTGTATTATTTTGACTTGTATCATAAAAGCTTTTCTTTTTTTTTAATTTCTCAAAGTCCTCATAAAAAAAATTATATGCTGCATAATTTCAATCAATTTAAGCCAGGTGCCATTTCCAAAAAGAGCTGAAAAGACTATCATTAATACATATAGAATAGGCAGGTGCCAGTATATAACAAAAATAACTTCAGTTTTCTATAGAGAGAAAAGGTATCAATATCTATTTCAATCTGACTAAAATTCAGATCTTCTGATGTTTTAGAGCATAGCAGTTATTTGGAAGCTGATTTTAATAAGATCGTATCTAATGTATTTCAAACTCACCCATAATAACATTCTCTGTAATTATTGCTAAACAATCTGCCACTGAAATAGATATTAGAATCATTTAACCAAATAATTAAAAAAAAAGACATAGATTCAAAACTTCATCAAGTCTATAGGGTTGATTTGTAATCCAACAAGTTGTATTTATAAATCACTATTTCCAAACTCCCTACCTCTCCAATTATAAAAATTATAAAAATACAAACAATGTCAAGGCCATTGAGGGGCCAAGACCATTTATTTCAATATGTTAAAAGTCTTTCAATCTTGCTGTGTCCAAGTATGAATGCTCTGAAACCATATTGAAAGTTGTCAGCAGAAAAACAGAAAGGACAAAATATGCCCCCTACCCTCCACTTCATTCCTCTATCCATAAAAATTCACTGGCTGGACTTACTATACTATATTTTACAAATCCATGACACCCAGGACAGAGCTTATTTTGATCCTAGGTTCATAATTTGAACAATCTTTGTAGAGATCCATTAGATGATGCTTCATGCCAAATATCTAAGCTCTACCCTTGAGACATAATAGGAAAGCCCATGATGAACCTTGGGGTTCCAGTGAAAAGGATTTTTGATATACCTATAGGGAAACCCATGAATAACCAGGTTGGGGTCAATTTTGAACCTAGAGAAGTAGAGATATAATTTGAACAACTTTGGCAAAGGACCTCAAGATGATGTTATATACCACATAAAATATTAATAATACCTTTCATAACAGAACGCTTTATTTGATTTTCTGGTGCATACTTTTCTATATTCTCTATTACCCTGAAATAAAGAAATACCTCACATTTTGATTTTCGATTTAATTATTTCAAGCAATGATGAGTCAGATAATTATATAACTAGCTGAGTAATCCATGTATTAAGCGATATGAATTATCAGAACAGATAGTATTATACCATATATAAATTTTAAGTTTGATAGTATCGTATCATATATTGTAAGACTTAAAGAGGTTTGTATGTTTTATTGTTCTTTGAGCAAAATAATGCATTCTAGGAGATAATGAGTTTAGGCTTATTGTCAAAAGTTTGAATATTGCAGACTTTGGTCATAGATACATCCAACCATCATCAAATATGTAATGTGTGGAAATTGTAGATGCTGATACTTCACTCTTAATAAAAAGACCCTCTGTCAGTCTGTGTATAGTGACTTTCTTTTTAGGTCTGATTGGAAGTCTATAATACAGTCTATAGTGACTTCCAATATATAGTGTACAACAAAGTTGTTAAATCATAAAATGTACCCAGTCTGCACTGTTTATAAAGTTTAATATCATTGCATATTTTCAAATTTTGAGCAGATACTTTAAAAGTTATTTTTGCTTAAAGGGAGTATATCACTTTAAACAGCACTGTTCAGATGTGAGAATATTGCCTGTTTATCAATTTACACATTGTCTTGAATTATTACTTTTTTTTTACTAGATTTAAATACAATTTATCTATTTAACAGTTTAATAAGTATATTTTTTAAATATTACAGTTTTCCTGAGCTGATAACATACAGTCAAAATTTGTTTCCTCGAACTTGGGAGAGTCTGTGCAAATTTGTTCGAAAGATTAATTGGTAGTTTAAACAAACCAAGGATGTAGTATTAACGTGTATCATACGATCATATTTTACGAAGTACATACATGTATATATATATACGGTAGGTTTTCCAGCCATTACCGTCTGCCTTGTTATCAATTACAAAATTAAAAAGAAAATACCTTGCATATCAAAGTTCTCAACATATGAAAATCTTTCCGCGTGCATTGTCTGTTGCTTATCTCTCTGTTTCTTAGTCTGTAAATGATGCAAAAACTCATTTTATCTGTAAAATAAACACTGACAAAGTTGCAAACAAATGGCGCCTTCTAAATTAAAGGGCAGTAACTCTGTAATGTACAACACTGCTGTATCATGTTCACATAGATAGAGTTTTGATTATTTATTACAGAAATGATTGCAACTGAAATTGTAAAAATTATTGTTACCTTGTCTAATCTGCAACATTCAATTATGCCCAACTTTAAAATGAAAACCTTTGAAGACAGAAATTGTTTTGCTTTGTTTCAAATACATACATGCAGGTTTTATATCAGGGGTAGGCCTATACATCTTCTTTATAAAATAAAAGTGCAAAATGCAACATTAAACCACTCTGAAAATTATTTTTTCACCTTACTTTATACATTTTTCTAAAGAAAACAGTTTTAACTCATTATTTCAGGAATTGTTAGGCCCAAGTGCATTCAAGCAGATAATAACAACTTGTAATAGTGGTCAGGTTCTAATGAGAATTAATGCTAATTAATTTACATGTGGACCAAATAATCACAAATTTATAACTGGAGTAAATTCTCAGGGCTCAGTAGACTTATATAAGTGTCACTATATAAAGATGATGGACTAAACAACAACAACTTGTAAATACAATTTCAATCAAATTATGCTTTAATTATATGAGTAGCCCTAACAAATTTAATAAGTATACTGATCAAATGATATTTATTTTTATTTAGAATAACTCTACTTATTATTTAATTAAGATTATATTTATGATATATTTTATAAGAGGTCGATTATAATAAACATAAACGTTTGTGTTTAGGACTGAAGTCCAGTTTAATGTTTCAAGGCTAAGCCTTGTAGTACTGACCAGAGTAGGTACAGTACCTAACCTAGCTAACATATATGTTTGTAGCCTGTGCTTAATGAGGGTCCATCCGCCCGTTGGGGCACAAAATGCTGCTTTCACTGTCGAGTACGGACCCTGGACATGTCACCAGTCATGCCCTTAAAGAGTTAATTTTGAAGCACAAAGTGGTGATAATTTACCTCCATGCAATTTCCATAGAGTATTAGCCAAAGCCAAAAGTAGGTCACTGTAGTAGTGTCAATGAGATCCTAAATGTACAGTAACCTGTGACAATATGAAAGGGTAGCCCTGAAAAGGGCTGTTGGTGCCAGCCTAGCTAACATTGCAAAAGTCAGCTTATTTATACCATTCAGTATTCACTGTAACAATCTGATTGGTTGACTATAATATTGTATATACCATGCAATAAGTATTAAAGATAGTAACTCATAACTTATATAGATTAACTGTTAACTTAGATTACTGTGAATGGTCTCATCAGAGGATAAGACTGGGTGGTCTTAGTTGTGAATCATGTAACCATTGAGTCAATGACATAAAGAACAGAAACTTCTGTTCTTTTAAAAATTGGCCTTTATAGCAGACGGAATAGTCTTAATTCTGGGGTGTTCTTAAGTATGATTTTGACAGTTATAATAACAACCTTCGTGTGTTCCTAATATTCAAAATGTTAGATTATAGAGGGGATAATGTCTTGAGGCAAGTGTCCGCCCTTTCAAAAAAATTGAGGCAGCAAAAGTTGCAACAGCAAATTAATTCATTCAGTTAACTCAGTCAAATGTTTAAATATCAATACAAACAAAAAGAAATAGGCTTTGGTAATTTGTTACAAATGTTGCGGGGAAAGTTCATGAAGAAAATAACTGGTGACACAAAATATTTCAAGAAAATCAAACTTGAGAAAAATCCACTAAGATTTTAAAAAAAAGTAAAAAGATTAGAGAATCAAGTAGATGTTATGTGTGATTTATGACTGATTTTGTACTGTTTATCACCAGATTAAAATTCCACTCCCTGGGCTATTTTTGCATGTTTTGACCTGGTTGTGGCATTATTATGTGGATCGAATTGCTGCATGCTTGCAGACTGTGTTAAATACTGTATTCCTTTATAATATTTTACTTTTAAATACATTTTTAGATTTTTCAAATAAATTGAATCTGGTGTTTAAAAGTTGCACAATAAAGTAATGAGATCTATATGTGTGTATAATATATTTCATAGGTGCTTGTGGAAAGAATATTTCCAATATCTTGTAAAAGTTTATTTCCCAGGGTTGAAGAAGCTTCCCTGGCCTAGTGGTAAAGTTCACAGACTTCAAATCATTTTTTCATTAAAACTGTGGGTTCCGATCCTGTCAGGAACTTGAGATATTTTCATCAGAGGAAGCTATCCAGCAAGTTTACAGTTGGTTGTTGGTTGTACTCAGTTTCCATGATGTAATATGTAACTCTTTACTCTTAGAACATGCTCACATGTATGTATGGTGTAATATGTAATTTACTCTCAGAACATGCTCACATGTATGTATGGTGTAATACAAAATGTATGTAACTTAACTCTCAGAACATGCTCACATGTATGTATGGTGTAATATGTAATTTACTCTCAGAACATGCTCACATGTATGTATGGTGTAATACAAAATGTATGTAACTTAACTCTCAGAACATGCTCACATGTATGTATGATGTAATTAAAATGTAACTTTACTCTCAGAACATGCTCACATGTATGTATGGTGTAATACAAAATGTATGTAACTTTACTCTCAGAAAATGCTCACATGTATGTATGGTGTAATATGTAATTTACTCTCAGAACATGCTCACATGTATGTATGATGTAATATGTAACTTTACTTTCAGAACATGCTCACATGTATGTATAATGTAATATGTAATTTATTCATCAGAACATGCTCACATGTATGTATCATGTAATATGTAAATTTTCTCTCAAAACATGCTCACATGTATGTATGGTGTAATATGTAACTTTACTTTCAGAACATGCTCACATGTATGTATGGTGTAATATGTAATTTACTTCTCAGAACATGCTCACATGTATGTATGGTGTAATATGTAACTTTACTTTCAGAAAATGCTCACATGTATGTATGATGTAATATGTAATTTACTCTTAGTACATGCTCACATGTATGTATGGTGTAATATGTAATTTACTCTCAGAACATGCTCACATGTATGTATGGTGTAATATGTAATTTACTCTCAGAACATGCTCACATGTATGTATGGTGTAATATGTAACTTTACTTTCAGAACATGCTCACATGTATTTATGGTGTAATATGTAACTTTTCTCTCAGAATATTCTCACATGAATGTATGGTGTAATATGTAATTTACTCCTCAGAAAATGCTCACATGTATGTATGATGTAATATGTAATTTACTCTTAGAACATGCTCACATGTATGTATGGTGTAATATGTAATTTACTCTCAGAACATGCTCACATGTATGTATGGTGTAATATGTAACTTTTCTCTCAGAACATGCTCAAATGCTTATATGGTGTATTATGTAACTTTACTCTCAGAACATACTCACATAATTTATGTGCATGTCACATATACCTTTTCTCTTAAAACATACTCACATGTATGCAATACTTCACTATGAGAGCAATTATGTCATAGTTTTTGTCTTTGATTTATTGTGCTGTTAAGAAAAAATCAATGTTGTATAAATTGTTTTATGTATTTTACTCAGTAAAAACAAACAACAACATATTAATAGAAAGTCTGTTTACTATCTTTGGCATGATATATACAATATTATACAATACAGCCACATTTTTTTTAACAAATTAGTTGAATAAAGAAATCTTCTTTTTAATTATACATGTATAGTTATTACAAACATTTACTGTCTTAATAATGCTAAAGTTGATAATGAATATGGTACCTGATATTTTCAAAGAACAATTAAATCTTAACTGCACAGTAAAAGTCATTCTTATTTGACAATATCAGCCAATATACCTTTGAGAAACTGTTTACAGCCCTTCAATTAAACAGACTTTAACAATAGTTTTAATTAAGCACTTTATGCATGAAATGGTCAGACAAGTGATTACACTGGGTGGGGTAGGGTAACATTTGTATACTTACTTGAAATAAATTACTTAGCTTGTTTGGATTGATAGTTCAATGTTATGTTAACTAGTACATGGTTAGTTTTAGGTTTTAGATGTATTTTAAATCAACATCTACACTGTATATTATAGTCTCTGTAACTGAGTCATTTAAATAAACACAATGACCTAATTTATCTATCCTGAAATAAATGAAATGTAAAATGACAATTGTCATATTGAATGACAGACAAGTAAATATCATACAATGAACAGGTAAAGGATAAATAAAGTTAATGTTGTAATAGTTACAATAATTGTCATAAGGCATTCAACAGTTCATATTGTTCAGTTACAATAATTGTCATAAGGCATTCAACAGTTCATATTGTACACACCTGAATTACTTTACGTCTGACAATATATTTGAAAATTGATCAGATTTTATTGAGTTTTACATGTAGTTGCATACCATAAAAAACACCTCCATGCAAAATTTTCACAAAATTTAATGTTTTGTTTTACACTTCTCTAACCTAATACATGTAACTTGTTTTATTTTGTTAACACAACTAAATAAATAAAAACCCAACTTAACTTGTTCATAACTAGTTTATAGTATACATGTATAATACAAGTAACTGCATTTACTCTTTTATATTGAATAACCAACAGTTCAATATAATTATATACATGTGTATTTATACATCACATATATAATGTAACATATATATAGTGATATCAGGTAAGCGTACACCATGACTTGTTAATGTTTGACTGTACACTGCCTCTTCTAGAACCTTTATGACTGTCAGCTTCACTCTCACTCTCTGTAAACTCTACATCTGATTCTATATCAGAATCCTCCGCTACCTCACATAATGTATGTATAAACTGTGTTCTAACTGTATCTTCATCTTCACTATAATATATAATCAAAGTTATGTCTCAAATATTGGAATAAAAGTCTTTATTATATCAGAAATATAAAGGCCCACATGTATACATGATGACCAATACTTGAAGGATATTGTATTGACCTACTAACTAACACTTCAAGAAATGTTAAATCCTACTGACCAACACTGTAGGGGAATTGTAAAGACTTAACAGTAATAAACATCAGTTGAAGGGCACTGTACAGACCCACTGGACAACACTTAGGGACATTGTACAGACCCACTGGACAACACTTTGGGGCATTGTACAGACCAACTGGACAACACTTTGGGGCACTGTACAGACCAACTGGACAACACTTGGGGGCATTGTACAGACCCACTGGACAACACTTAGGGGCATTGTACAGACCCACTGGGCAACACTTGGGGGCATTGTACAGACCAACTGGACAACACTTAGGGACATTGTACAGACCCACTGGACAACACTTAGGGACATTGTACAGACCCACTGGGCAACACTTGAGGGGAAAAAATTTCAGACCTACTGGACAACACTTGGGGGCATTGTACAGACCCACTGGACAACACTTGGGGGCATTGTACAGACCAACTGGACAACACTTAGGGACATTGTACAGACCTACTGGACAACACTTAGGGGCATTGTACAGACCAACTGGACAACACTTAGGGGCATTGTACAGACCCACTGGACAACACTTAGGGGCATTGTACAGACCCACTGGACAACACTTGGGGGCATTGTACAGACCAACTGGACAACACTTAGGGACATTGTACAGACCTACTGGACAACACTTAGGGGCATTGTACAGACCAACTGGGCAACACTTAGGGGCATTGTACAGACCCACTGGACAACACTTAGGGGCATTGTACAGACCCACTGGACAACACTTAGGGGCATTGTACAGACCAACTGGACAACACTTGGGAGCATTGTACATACCCACTGGACAACACTTGGGGGCATTTGTACAGACCAACTGGACAACACTTAGGGGCATTGTACAGACCCACTGGACAACACTTGGGGGCATTGTACAGACCCACTGGACAACACTTGAGGGAAAAAATTTCAGACCTACTGGACAACACTTGGGGGCATTGTACAGACCCACTGGACAACACTTGAGGGGAAAAAATTTCTGACCTACTGGACAACACTTGGGGGCATTGTACAGACCCACTGGACAACACTTGGGGGCATTGTACAGACCAACTGGACAACACTTAGGGACATTGTACAGACCTACTGGACAACACTTAGGGGCATTGTACAGACCAACTGGGCAACACTTAGGGGCATTTTACAGACCCACTGGACAACACTTGGGGGCATTGTACAGACCCACTAGACAACACTTGGGGGCATTGTACAGACCAACTGGACAACACTTAGGGACATTGTACAGACCTACTGGACAACACTTAGGGCATTGTACAGACCAACTGGGCAACACTTAGGGGCATTGTAACAGACCCACTGGACAACACTTAGGGACATTGTACAGACCCACTGGACAACACTTGGGGGCATTGTACAGACCCACTGGACAACACTTGGGGGCATTGTACAGACCAACTGGACAACACTTGGGGGCATTGTACATACCCACTGGACAACACTTGGGGGCATTGTACAGACCCACTGGACAACACTTAGGGACATTGTACAGACCCACTGGACAACACTTGGGGGCATTGTACAGACCCACTGGACAACACTTGGGGGCATTGTACAGACCTGCTGGACAACACTTAGGGGCATTGTACAGACCCACTGGACAACACTTGAGGGGAAAAAATTTCAGACCTACTGGACAACACTTGGGGGCATTGTACAGACCCACTGGACAACACTTGAGGGGAAAAAATTTCAGACCTACTGGACAACACTTGGGGGCATTGTACAGACCCACTGGACAACACTTAGGGGCATTGTACAGACCAAATGGACAACACTTGGGGGCATTGTACAGACCCACTGGACAACACTTAGGGGCATTGTACAGACCAACTGGACAACACTTAGGGGCATTTTACAGACCCACTGGACAACACTTGGGGCATTGTACAGACCCACTGGACAACACTTAGGGGCATTGTACAGACCAACTGGACAACACTTAGGGGCATTGTACAGACCCACTGGACAACACTTGGGGGCATTGTACAGACCCACTGGACAACACTTAGGGGCATTGTACAGACCAACTGGACAACACTTAGGGGCATTTTACAGACCCACTGGACAAACACTTGGGGCATTGTACAGACCCACTGGACAACACTTAGGGGCATTGTACAGACCAACTGGACAACACTTTAGGGGCACTGTACAGACCAACTGGACAACACTTAGGGGCATTGTACAGACCCACTAGACAACACTTAGGGGCATTGTACAGACCCACTGGACAACACTTAGGGGCATTGTACAGACCCACTGGACAACACTTAGGGGCATTGTACAGACCAACTGGACAACACTAAGGGGCATTGTACAGACCCACTGGACAACACTTGAGGGGAATTGTAAAAAAAAATATCAGTTTCATTAAAGATATTAATCTATAAAAAAAAATTATCATCATGAGATTAGCAATGTCAATATTTAAATGAGAGTAAGAAAATAAGGTGCACATAAAAATGATTTCAATATTCCCTAACCTGAGTCTGGGACAGAAAGATACACCAGATGAACCCTGTTATGCATTTTTAAATGAAATAAAAAATTCTTAACAAGTTTATAATAGAAACCCTTCAGACTTGCTCTCCTTTATTTCTGGTTAGACAAGAATATATATTTAACAGAATATCTGTTTTCTACAATTGTTAATAATAATCTCTGTCTCAAATGTTAAATGATATTTTTATTAATGTGACATTCATTATTAAAGTAAGGCTCGACTATTTGAAAAAGTTGTCACAAGGGTGTTTTATTGAGAATGATAATGCTTACCTATGAATACATAAAATTGACCGAAAAGGTACAAAGGCTTGTTATTAAGATGTTTTATCAAATAAATCACTGCTTTATTATTATGAATGCATAAAATTGTCCCAAAAAAAGGCACAAACCCTTCAGTAGTTATGGAGATAACAGCTTACAAGCAAAACTTTACCATTCATTTCTAGCAAAACTTTACCATTCATTTCTAAGTTGAAAAAGGGGTGAAAAATCAGCCTAAATGCAAGATAGAATAATGGATCTTGGTCAGTGACCTATAATTATGACCCTAAATGCATATGTGAAGTTTTAAATAAATATCTTTAATAGTTATTGAGATATGTAAAACTTGCATGTAAACATTAACCAAGAGACTAAGTAGAAAAGGGGAGATAAATCAGCCTAAATGCAAGTTAGAGTTATGGAACTTAGTCAGTGACATACAATTATGACCCTTCATGCATATGAGAAGTTTCAAATCAAAATCTCTGATAGTTATGAGATATCTGACTTTACGAAAAACTTTAACCAAAATTTCTAAGTTAAAAAGGGGCATAATTCTGTAAATATTTTAGGCAGAGTTATCCAACTTGTCAATCTGATGTACATTGTTACTATAAATAAGTATTGTAAGTTTCAATTGAATATCTCAAGCAATAATAGAGATATTTGACTTTACAACAAGAGCTGTCGGTAGGACAGCAATGCTCGACTATTCTTAGTGCTTGATAGTAAAAAAAAATGCTTGATACAGTTACCTCCTCCTGTTTACAGGTTGGGGTCATGATGGTGAACAAGTGTGCAAAGTTTCAAAGCCATATGTCAATGGACTTTAAAAATATTTGAACTATTACAAAAACTTTAACATAAGTGGTTACGCCGACACAGACGCCGACACTGACGCCGACGCTCGGGTGACTACAATAGCTCTACTTATTCTTATCGAATAGTCAAGCTAAAAAACTTTAACCAAAATTTTTAAGTTTAAAAGGGGCATAATTCTGTAAATATTGAAGGCAGAGTTATCCAACTTGTCAATCTGATGTACATTGTTGCTATAAATAAGTATTGTAAGTTTCAATTGAATATCTTAAGCAATAATTGAGATATTTGACTTTACTAAAAACTTTAACCAACGCAGACGCTGATGCGGACGCTGGGGCGACTACAATAGCTCTCATATTCTTCGAATAGTCGAGCTAAAAATGATTAAAAGAATACAAAAAAATAAGAACCACCTGACTGCCAAAAGGACCATCAAAATTTTAAACCTAATGGTCCGGCTTTCGTTTGAAGACCTGGTAAACATATAATATAATTCAATAATTGTACATAAAAAGTGAGCATACCTGCCATCTGAAACCTGCTTCCATACCAGTAAATCTATCCCAGCAGTAACTATGCTTAAATTTCCATTAATATCTCTATAACAACATATATCAAGTATTCTTCTTGTGTTACTACAATCTAGTGTTGCAATATAGCTAGGTTCAGCAGATATGTCAAACACTGCAATAAAACAATGTGATTTGTGATTTTCTTAAATCTATAGAAGAAACACTAACAAAATTAATTCCTTATCACAGAAATATAATCTACTTTAGTTATAGAAATTGATTGTGCTGTTTTAGGAAGGAATCTGTTAATGAAATAGACATGTATATATGAACCAATGTAAAGGTGACACAACAGAGTGTAACAGCTTAACTTCAGCACATTTTTGGTCAGTAGCTAAAAATTAAAATTAGAATCTATAATCAGTTCAGCAACATCCTTGAATTTGCAGAGTTGAAAGGGTATAATTCTATATCTTTGAAAATATTTTTATAAACTTTATCAACAGTAATATTAAAATTTTATTATATTATGGTTGATTCTCAAAAAAGTTGTTACTTAACAAACATGGATATTATATGTAAACAGAATAAAATGTTTCAGATAAAAATAAAATGCTGCTATTTTATGTAAGGTTTTAACAGTTAAGCAGTGATTTCCTGCATTTGCTTTTAATGCAATATACGGCCATATTTCTTTTTGTTTCATACAAGCATTTCTTTTTTTGTAACTCAAACAATATTTTTTGCAGCAGATATATAGCTTTATACACTTTAAACTTTATTCATTTGTACTGATAGCATCTGTTTGAAGCATGAAAAGTACACTTTTCCATATGCTGAAATGAAATTTATAATGTACGGTATTTAACTCACCGTTGATATATCCATTGCCATTGTCAAGGTCATAGGCTGAGGTCATCATCAAGTTACCATGGCAACATATTGCATCTGTCATCCCAAACTCCTCTTTGTGATTGGGTAACTTTTTTACAAGTCCTTATAATTGAACAAAATATATATCTTAGGAAAGTGTGTTGCAGTTTGACATAAATCAAAGACAAAGTAGCCATGGGTTCTATGATATCACGGTACTTAACATTTATTTAAAAATATTCAAATATAAATATCATACATGAATGAGATTTTTCTCCTATTTAATAAGTGAACTTTTTCCAAAACTGTTTATCAAAAAATTATTTCAAAAGATCCAATTAAAATGTCATTTTATAGACTATTTCCATTGTCTGCCAATTTGGGTGATTTCAGAGAAGGATCCTACGGTATCACAGTAATCCCCAAAAATGCAAGTATGGAAGAAAAGATGTGTCAAAATCTTCAAATAAAGTTGTGGAAAACTTCCAACAGTTAACTTGCTATAAAATTCAAACTATATGAACAGAGAATATATCAGTATATGTGATTATATCATATTTTAATTGACCATGTAAAAACAATTAACAGAAATAGTACTCCAAACAAGAGCTGTATATTTAACATGTACATGTCTAACCATGGTGAAGTGTAGATAGTCATTATTGGTGAAGTAAAATGCTCCACAAATGTCATTTTAAATCAAAAGGGAAGGACAAACTTTGCAAGGAACATTATAAAATTCAGCAGTTTTGAGTGAATGACATCCCAGTCCTTGAGTAGATCTAAGATTTGTTTATCTGGTTATTATGCTGATTTTAACACATTTTTTGTCATATCTCCATCAATCCAAGTAAAAGACTTTCCTTGATAACTAACCAGTAATTATAAATTTCTGTGCAAGTGACTTTCTACAAACTGTTTTCTGAATCAAGTGAAAGAAACAAATGACCATTTGACTCAATGCCCGACATTAACTGTAATGGAGGATCGAACCAGTAACCCCTGAATTACAACTCTAATGCTCTCCTCTATTGAGCTAAGCAGACGGACAGATCCATGATTTATCTTCATCAAAGTTCTTCAAATGAATGATAATTTCATCCCATATCTTTCTTTGGGTCCAGTAAACAAACCCTCCCTTTCCAGTTGAAAACATAGACATTTTTTCCCAGTTTCCAACAAAACCAGGTTTTCCATTATCATCATTGTAAAAAAGTTTTGTTCTAGTTGGAATACAAATACAAGCAACGTAAAATGTAACTATGTGCCATGTAAATGGTAAATAATGAAAAAACAAAAGAAACAAGATGGCGTGCTAAACATTCTGGAAAGAAAAAAACATCAACATATATAAACACAAGCAATTATCATAGTATTGCAAGCAATCCATAAGTCCCCTACCGGTTAGAACCCAAGCAACATTCTGATTTCAATTTTACCAGTGAATGAATGACATGAATGAACTTAAATCTTTTGAGTTCTAAGTTTGTCTATTTCACAGTAATGTGTTAAGTTTCCCTGCCTAGTAAGGAAATTATGTTTATACAACCTTGTCATATTATTACGATGTGGTATTTTAAAGAAAATCCTATAAGGAATGAAGAAGTTGGAGTAAAAAATACCAATTTCTCGAAAAAAATCTAAGTTCAAGGGGGACATAATTCTGGAAATAGTCTTGCTAGAGTATTTAACCTTCTCAAAAATGTTGAGTGATAATAAGAAACATATATATGAAGTTTGAAGTAGATACATTAGGAAATAAAGAAGTTATTTAAAAAAGACAACATTTTTTTTCCATAAAAATTCTAAGTTCAAGGGAGGTAATACTGATAATTTTTGTGCTAGAGTTGTAAACCTTGTCACATATGATGTGGTTGATGACCAGAAACTTATATTTAAAGTTTGAAGTAAACACCTTAAGAAATAAAGAACTTATAGTGAAAAGGCTGAAAAATTTAAAATCAGAAATCTTGAAATCCAGGCTATTTGTTGCCATAGCAATCAGAATTTTCAACATAGGAAGAAAAGAAAAAGATGTGCATAATCTGCAGACTGCCATCTACCCATATTTTAAGTTTCATAAAAATATTTTCAGTACTTTTTGAGTTATCACTGGATCCAGTTTATGTGTTAAATTTGCCATATTTTCAGACTATTTGTTGCCATAGCAACCAGAATTTTCAACATAGGAAGAAAAGAAAAAGACGTGCATAATCTCCATACTGCCATCTATCCATATATCAAGTTTCATAAAAATATTTTCAGTACTTTTTGCGTTATCGCGGGATTCAGTTTTGTGGACGGACTGACGGACTGACAGACAGACAGACAGACGGACAGACAGACAGACAGACGGACGGAGGGTAAACCTAAAGTCCCCTCCGGTTAAACCGGTAGGGGACTAATAAGAAAACACTTTGTAATAACCGTACATGGAAAAAATAATATTATATTGACCTTGATCCTAGGTGGGCCTTAAGCGAGATGTTCATAATTTATAAAAAAAATAATTTAAATACAGTGTAACTTCTGAATTCCAGAACTTCTAAAATCCGGAAACTTCTGATATCCGAACATTTTTCAGAGTCCCGAAATTTCTCCTTTGAATAACGAAACTTCTAAATTCTGAATTCCGAAAGATTTTCTGAGAAAATTTAGGTTATATCAATTCAAATTTACTTCCAAAATCCGGAAATGGTAAAAGTGGAGAAGGAATGTGAAACTTTAAAAAAGTCAATGTTTTCCAATTAACAGTAACCATTTATCTTACCACCTTTTAGAATCACAACCTGTCAAGCATGTCAAACACATGATTAAAGTGTGAAAGTGGTATCATGTGATGGATATATAAAAAAAATATTTAACAGGTTAATAGCAGGCAGGTACTATAAGAAATGTACTAATGGATAAATTGTGATAATTAACAATATGCTTTTCTATCAACCAATTCTGTTATAGATGATAATGAAATTTAAAAAAGACACCTTTTTTAAAAGTCCTTTAATTTTGCTATTTTATGAATTTAATCATCTTCATATATTTTTCAACATGTCTTACTTAAATAATTAATGTTTAATGTTTCTAGTTGTTTAGATAAATCGGAACTTCTGAATTCCGGAAACTTCCAAATTCCAAACTTTTTGGCTAGTCCCACAGGTGTTTGGTTTTCAGATTTACACTGTATCTCACTCCAAAATCTAATTATCAAACTAAACATTCTGATTTTAGTAACAGCGGCATGCCCTTGACCTTACGGGACCTAAAATCAATCACATGGGAGGTCACCACACAAGCTTGCAATACACTAAGTTTCATTGAAATATCTCTTTCCAAACTTTAGTTATTGACCTAAACCAATCTCCTATCTTTAGTAATAATGACCTTGACCTTAGGGGCCCAAAAGCAATCCCAAGCAAGTCTTCACAAAAGCTTGCTATATAGTATATACCAAGTTACATTAAGGTAAGTCAATCTGATCTTAAGTTTTTGAACAGCAACCATCTTATTTGACATTTGCCCACCCATCAGTCTGCCTTACCTCAATCTAATAATCAGTAGTTTCAAAATAGAAAATCTGGATAATTAAACAACAAAACAATAAAACAAATGTGACACATTCCTAAATTAAAAAATGCTGATCAGTGACTACCTTTCTTCCATGTGAGTATTTTAAGATTGACACCATCATCACCATAAAAGATGTGAC